ATATTGGAAGAATTAATACTGTAAAAATGTCCATACTATCCAAAGCAGTCTGCAGATTCAATGCAATCGCTATCAAAATTCCAAAGACACTTTTCACAGAAATACAACAAACAACCCTAAAATTTCTTTGGTACCACAAAAGATCTCAAATAGCGAAAGCAATCTTGAGAAAGAAAAATAAAGCTGGAGGCATCACACGCCCTGACTTCAAACTGTAAACAGAATGGTATTGGCATAAAAACAAACAAATAGATCAATGGAACAGAAAAGAGAATAAACCCTAAAAATAAAACCAAGCACGTATGTTCAATTAATTTATGACAAAGGAGCCACGAATATACAATGGGAAAGGATGGTCTCTTCAATAAAATAGTGTTTGTAAAACTGGACAGCCACATGCAAAAGAATGAAACTGGACCACTATATTACACCATACACAAAAATTAACTCAAAATGGATTAGACTTGAATGTAAGACCTGAAACCATAAAACTCCTAGAATAAAACATAGGTAGTAAGCTCCTTGACATCACTCTTAGTGATATTTCTTTGGATCTAACTTCAAAGGCAATGGCAACAAAAGCAAAAATAAACAAATGAGACCACATCAAACTAAAGAGCTTCCACACAGCAAAGGAAGCCATTAGTAACAAAAAAAGGTAACCTTCTGAATTGCAGAAGATATTTGCAAATTATATGTCCAAAAAGGGGTTAGTATCCAAAATATATAAAGAACCCACACAGCTCAATAATTTAAAAAAAGATCTGATTAAAAAATGGGCAGAAGATCTGAACAGACATTTTTCCAAAGAAGACATATTGATACAAATGGCCAACAGGCATATGAAAAGATGCTCAGTATCACTAATCATCAGGGAAATGCACGTCAAAACCACAATGTGATATCACTTCACACCTTTCAGAATGGCTATTATCAAAAGAGCAAGAAATAATAAGTATAAGGACTTTTCCGGTGGTCCAGTGGTAAAGAATCCGCCTTCCAATGCAGGGGATGCAGATTCGATGCCTGATTGGGGAACTAAGATCCCACATACCGTGGGGCAACTAAGGCCATGTGCCACAACTACTGAGCCCGTGTGCTGCAAACTAGAGTCCATGTGCTCTGGAGCCCGTGAGCAACAACTATGGAGAAGACCCGCAGGTCACAACTAGAGAAAAGGCCACACGCTGCAATGAAAGATCCCACATGCCGCAATGAAGATCCCACATGCCACAAGTAAGACCCGATGCAGCCAAGAATAAAATAATTAATTTTAAAAAAAGGAAATAAGTGTTGGTGAGGATATGAAGAAAATGGAACCCTTGTGCACTGATGGAGAAAATGTTAATTAGTGCAGCCACTGTGGAAAATAGTATGGAGGTTCCTCGAAAAATTAAAAACAGAACTCCCACGTGATCCAGCAATTCCACATCTGGATATTTATCTGAAGAAAATGAAAACATTATCTTGAAAAGATTTCTGCACCCCCATGTTCACTACAGCATTATTTACAATAGCCAAGATATGGAAACAACCTAATTTGCAAAACAACCATGAATGAACAAGTGGATAAAGAAAATGTGGTACACACACACACACAAAATGGAATATTATTCAGCCACGATAACTGTAAAACATTGAAATTTGCTCAACGTACATGGACTTGAAGGGCATTATGTTAAGTGAAATAAGTGAGATGGAGAAAGACAAATACTTCATGATATCATTTATATGTGGAATCTTACAACAACAAACAAACAAAAAGACAAGTCATAGATACAGAGAACAGATTGGTGGTTGCTAGAGGCAAAGAGTAGTGGGTAGGCAAAATGGGTGAAGTGATTCAAAAGGTACAAACTTACAGTTATAAAATAAGTACGTCATGGGGATGTAATACACAGCATGGTGACTACAGTTAATAATACTGTATTGCATATTTGAAGGTTACTGAAAGATCTTAAAAGTTCTCAGCAGAAGAAAAAAAAATTTGTAACTATGAACACAGACATGTTAACCAGACTTGCTGTGGCAATCATTACACAATATATACAAATAGAGTCACTACGTTGTACACCTGAAACTAATATAATTTTATATGTCAATTATATCTTAATAAAAAAATCAATGGAAGAATATACACCAAAGTGTTTTCTTAAAGTTTTCATAGGACTTCCCTGGTGGTGCAGTGGTTAAGAATCTGCCTGCCAATGCAGGGGACATGGGTTCGAGCCCTGGTCCAGGAAGATCCCAAGTGCGTGGAGCAACTAAGCTCACGCGCCACAACTACTGATGCTGCACTCTAGAGCCCGTGAGCCACAACTACTGAGCCCGCGTGCAACAACTACTGAAGCCCGTGCACCTAGAGCCCGTGCTCCGCAACAAAGAGAAGCCCATGCACCGCAACAAAGAGTAGCCCCCCCCTTGCCGCAACTAGAGAAAGCCTGTGCGCAGCAATGAAGACCCAACACGAAGACCCAACGCAGCCAAAAATAAATTAATTTAAAAAAAAAGAAAGGTGACTTAAAAAAAAAAATAAAGGTCTCATAAATACAGAGCCTACTGTGTGAAGCACTAGTTGATAATATCCTTTTCTACATAAATCATCACATTTTAATGCCAGAATGCATACTCCCACCCAACACCATCTTATTTTAAGAAGAAAAGCAGTTACTTAGTGAACTAGATCAGAGGTGTTCAGAATTTTTTGTTCCTGTATCTCTAAAGATTTGAAAAATTTATGAATACTTTTAAGCTGTAAAAAATGTAACTTCTAGAGTACTGAAAAAATTAACATATTATCCTAGAACTGTTACATCACGCCTTTAAGTGAATACAATGGGATCCAAATGCTATACTGATTTGATACTCAACATCTGCTTAAAAAAAAAATGAAAATGTTGAATTATGAACTTGGAAAATTTTACATTTTTTTGAACTCATATTTTCATTCCATTGTCTCCACAAAATTTTATTCTAATGCAATATATATCTGTGCTTGAAAAACTTTTACTAATCATTCTATGATACTTCTCCATTAACAAAAATGTATGTAAACTGAAATTTTAAATTGTGAATTTATTTTTTATTTTTTTTTTTGCGGTAGGCGGGCCTCTCACTGTTGTGGCCTCTCCCGTTGCGGAGCACAGGCTCCGGACGCGCAGGCTCAGTGGCCATGGCTCACGGGCCCAGCCGCTCCACCGCATGTGGGATCTTCCCAGACCGGGGCACGAACCCGTGTCCCCTGCATCGGCAGGCGGACTCTCAACCACTGCGCCACCAGGGAAGCCCTAAATTGTAAAATTTAAAAATTTCCTGTGACCATAAGTCTCTAAGTGTTAAAAATTCTGTTATCATTACAATTGTTATGAGCATAAAATTGATTAAAACATAATCTGCAAATTTTGACAGAAGCATAAAAACAGATTATTTTGGAAATGCGTTTCTTTTTTTTTTTTTTCGCAGTACACGGGCCTCTCACTGTCGTGGCCTGTCCTGTTGCAGAGCACAGGCTCCGGACGCGCAGGCTCAGCGGCCGTGGCTCACAGGCCCAGCCGCTCCGCGGCATGTGGGATCTTCCCGGGCCGGGGCACGAACCCGTGTCCCCTGCATCAGCAGGCGGACTCTCAACCACTGCGCCACCAGGGAAGCCCTGGAAATGCATTTCTTAGTGAGATGAATGGTACCTGATCCTGGCAATTAACTTATGTATCTACTGTAGTTGACTATTACTTACTACTAGGAAGTCAGAATTCAGTGTAAGTTCTTTTGCTTTTTGGGGGTGCAAATAATAAGAAACCCTATTTGCATAAATAAGTAGACATGAAAGGAGTTCTGTTATATCTAGCTCTCTCAATATTTTGAACTCCTTCTGAGTTAACTACCAAAAAGCACAGACACAGACACACACACCCCAATATCTAGTATCAAAAAAATAATTTTTAGTCATCTGTTAACTGATGACTTCTTCAAAAATAAACCAACTTTTCAAAAGAAGATCCCTAGTCATTCACTTTCTCAGCACTGATGAGATGCACCATAGCAAGATTCTGGATGGTGAGAATAGTCTAACCCACATCAACTAGTGCTTCAGTCCTTTTCATAATAACATCAGAATGGGGTTCACAAAGGGCAAACATAAACCCTTTGTGGTGGAGAAAACTTACATAAGTCTTCTAGATAGAACTTCTGTGATAACTGAAAGGTTCTATATCTGCACTGTCCAATAAGGTAGCCACTAGTCGCATGTGACTATAAATTTTAAAATTCATAATGCTCAATATTCATATGCGGCTAGTAGAAACTCTATTAGCACATTTAGACCCTTCTACTTACACTGTGGTCTGCAGCTTTTGCTGGCAGCTTGTGAGAAATGCATAACCTCCCACCCCGCCTCAGATTTACTCAGAGTATGCATTTTAACAAACTTCCAGGTGATTCACATCTACTCAGAGTTTAAGAAGCCCTGTACTAGAAAACTCTAATCTGTACAAAGTTTTTCCCTTTCATTCACCAAAAAACTGCCTCCATGAAATGTCCACCCTCTGGCCTTAATTCTTGCTCCTGGCCACACAGTGCAAAACTGAATCCCCCTTTCCTAGCAAGAGCCCTTCCAAGTATTTAAGCAGCTACCAAATTCTCCCCCACGACACACCTTTTCCTCCCCTCCCCCCGCCGTCCCATTGTCACGAGGTTAAATACGCGGAACTCTTTCAAGTACTTCTGTGCAAGACAAGGCCCCAAACTGGGTTTCCCCGACTCTCTTGCAGAGCACGTGTCAAAAAGCAAGCGAGTCACAGTGCAGGCTGTCCTTTAGGTCCTCAAAAGTCTAACAGTTCCTGGTCTCTGGGCTTCGCAAACAGACTCCACCAGACCGATAGCAGGGTCGACCCGCCTGCTTGGCTCTTTTGCTGTCACCCACAGCCCAACTCCTGTCATCCCCCCCTCTTCCTGGTCCCCATCCTCGCCACCCAACCCTCCTCTTTCCTTTCCTGGGCAGGTACCTGACTCAGAATACGGGGTCGAGACACGATGCCCCGTAGGTCGATGTACACGGGGGAAGAAAGCCCGCTCTTCAGCACGAAGTTCCCAAACTTGAAAGCCTGCACGTCGTACAGACCCGTTACCAATGACTCTAAAGCTGCTTCATCGGCCCCCATCGTCTCCCTCTCCCAGTTCACGCCGAACTCCAAACCGCCGCTTAACGGCGGCGCCCGGTGACGTCACCTGAGAAATCCCGCCTCTTCCGGCCCTTTTTCCGGCGGCTGGGAGAGCTCGCTCTGCTCAGCTCCGGGTGCCAGGTAGCGAGGGCCCAGGGTTTCAGGTCCGGTTCCGGGCAGTGGTAGCGAACTTTACCCCGACGCTGCCTATGAGTGAAATCGCTGGACTTTGAAGCCCCAATAGTTAGATTGGCTCCAGGATCATAAAATCAAGACTCTCAAGAGAATTTGTATGACTCCTGCCTGCTTTTTATAGCGCAGTGTCCTCTTAATTCTCCTTCTTGGGCGAGCATATCTTTATTTGCCCGTTATTAAACACCACTGTCCCCTCCCCTCCCCTTTCTCCAAATAGAGTGTAAGTTCTGGAAGACGGGGACCTTTGCTCAATTCTTTTATTAACTTCATGGCATTTGGCAAATGTCAGTGTCATAGCAATTTCCACATGGGACTATAAAGCTCTTAGCAGGTAATTGTTCATTACCTCTTCTGTCGGCCCTCTGCGTCTGGAGGAGGACGTGGGTTTAGTCCCATTTAGAGTAGCACAAGTGTTTGGCACATAATACGTGTATAGCAGATGAAGAAGAGAGGGAAGAGAGCAGAAGAAGATGAATTGATACCTTGGCATCAAGGTTATCCAGGAGGATAATCATGCCAGCTAATCTGAAAATCTAAGCGTATTTTGTATTCACAAATAAATTCCTTAAAGTAGAGGAAATTCCCATTGTGGGTAGAAGGCAATACTTTAAGGATAATTACCTTTAAAACCATAAGACTCACCATTGTTACTCATAAAATCGATTCTCAAGTCATTTCTATGTTTCTATGTTCTTTTATGTTTGTCTGTTTTCTCTGAAGGCAAGATGACCAGCCAGTGTGAAGAAGTCCATGCTTTTGACAGTTCTCATTTCAAATAAATGCAGTAAAATCTTGATGAAATAGAAACCCACTGTTAAAACATTTTTCTTCTTATGTGCAAAATAATCTAATCAAAATACTTCAATCCCAAATACTTGTCAGCCTTAAGAATAAAATGGCCTGTTAGTTTACCAACAAAATGAGTTTTACTTGGGAATGGCAGAGGAATTGCGTTTGAGGCACGGAAACTATGGCAAAACATAGGCAAGTCTGGAGAACAAAGGCGAGGAATGTTACTTTACAGAGAAACAGGGGAAGTTGGGAGGGGCTGCTTTGAAGGAAAGTCCATTGGAGGAAATCAAGAGTTCAGGGTCATGACAGTTTCTTATTGGCTGCCTTGTTGGTGTGCAAGGAGAACATCTTCCGCCCTCATGCTACGGAAGTTAAGTAAGCATCTTCCTGCCCAGGGCTGTAAAATAAGCTGCATAGGGTGGTATGTGCTGGTGTGTGCATGAAAGCTCCTCCTTCAGGGCTTCCTCACTCCACTTTAAATGAGATTTTCCTTTATTAGTTTTCACACACTCTAGCTAACTGACAGTGTACTATGAATCACTTTCATTTGCACTTGGGTGGCGCACACAGACTCTTTCAAAGCCTGATATGTCTGCAGAATCTAGTCCAGATTCCTTGAGTCCACAATATGTTGCGTAAACTTGTGAGATCCATCCCAAATGGCCTGCCAATTTTCTAACAAAGTTGCCAAATAAAACATCAGAATGAAGGTAACAACACACAGGGAGGCTTATTTGACACTTTTGGATAGAGAAATGCCTTTGAATACTTCTCCAGGCAACAAAATTGTTGCTTTCTTTCCAAATGCTGGGTAAAATGTGTTATGTAATAATAACGCAATATTTTCAACTTGTCAAAGGCTTTCATATATTTGGAGGAAGAGCAAAAAAAATTACTCTTTTCTTTCTACCAGAAGTTTTAATTAGAAAACAAAAGACCACCAGAAATAATATCTTTAGTATAGTATATTTATAGGAATGCATAACTTGAGATGTACATTTTGAAGTTTCATCCATAACTTATAACATTTACTGTAGTAATAATAACAAGACAGCAGGTCATCACTTTACATCACACGAGTGATTTTGACTTACAAATAAAATATTTACAACCTACCTTTACAAAACGACGTTGTGTGCATACAAAATGAACAACTGCAGAAAAATTTAAAAATAATGAGACAACCAAAAACCCAGAAGATACACTTAAGGCAGACCAGCAAGACACCGAAATAATTAAGGCTGTGGAATTCTTCTGCACCTTGAAAATATAGAGCTATTTATCAATACTGTGGAGTGGTTTTAAATCAATTGTTACAAGCCTGATGGAAGTACGTACTTATATGTATATGTATATGCATAATGGTCCCTATGGGGAAACCTGTCCACTTACGGATAAGGCCCTTTATCTGAATGGCCAGAGATGCCCACCCCAAACTCTCAAAAGCCTTGGTGGGGAGGGGTCACTCAAAACCAAGAGGTGCCAGTGAAGTTTGCAAACCAACTGTTAAATATTCAAATATAAAGATCCTTCTGACTCCAGGTAAAAGGAATAACCTATATGATGGTCCCGCTATGTTTCAAGCGTTGTTCATTTGGCTTTGTAGACTTCAAAAGACAGCAAATAATTCCCCCGTGAGTAGAATCTAACTCTACCTATCAGCCCTAATGGTTTTGAATGGCCCTAGATGGTTTTCTACTAGAAAAATTGACACACCTGGGCTGTCTTCAACCGGATAGATTTCTGCATATGAGCAATAACATATACATACATATTATACACTATATACATGTACAGATGTACATATATCCATATTTTCCAACAGTTTGCACTTTGATCACTACTGTTCTCTGACTAGGGTCTCATTCTGAAGAACAGGTTTAGTTTTTTCACAGTCTTCACATTTGTCCTAACTACTAGTTTTACCCACCTTCCCCACAGAGTAGGCCAAAGTTTGGCAGAAACAGAAGAAAAAGCACCAGGGTCAAAAAAATCAAACACAGAGATGACAGATATGGCTTAAGTTAGTAAGAGAAGATGTATGTTTTGTTAACTTCAAATTCATAACCACAGTCTTTGACATCACAGTAACAGTCTCCATAACACTCCAGGATGTGGCTTCATTTCTTGATGGAAATCAGGCATTGATGGAACGATTATACTAGCTATTCCTGGGCTAGCAAATTCGCTTGCTTAAATTAAGCCTCAGGATTGGGACTCTGAGAATTGTCATTTGCTCTCTTTTCTACCACCCGCCATTTTCTCAGCCATCCTCACTATCTGAAATAACATTTATCTGAGTAAACAGTTCATCTTGATCATTTGAATAAAAAGTAAATCTGACGACATTTTAGAATCTCGCTGACAGCAAACACAATAGCCCATGAGTATTAATTTCAGTCTTTCCATAAATGTCCCTTAAAGATGAAAATTTGTCTTAGAGTAATTGTTTTTTCCTCTCCTCTAACTTCTACATGTACTGAAAATGAGGAAGAAATGTCTTTCATAGAAAATATGGCCTGTGATATTTCTGTGTTCTACTATTTTTCTATAGATTTCTCACATGCACAATATTCTCTATGAAAGACGTCTAATGCTATGGACAAATTTCAGCCGTTTTTAATCCTCTAGAATTAATGAAACAACTAAGAGCCTTATAGTTTTTAGAAAATGGATATTAATGTGGTAGCTCCCCTTTTCTTAGTGGAGAACTGGTAAACCTTACCCTTCCTAACTCCAACCTGGGTTTAATCATTCATTTCCAAATGATCCCTAGATTTTAAATAGTTAAGAAAAACTGTAATGTAAATAAATACACTGAAAGCCCACATACTATGTTTGCCTAACCCAGACTCCACAGAGATGCTACACAGGAGAGAAATAAATAAGGCCCACATTCCTCAAAACTGAACAAGGAAGTGGTGAGTTTGCACTTTTGCCCTACTACAGAGACACCTTATGTTTGAAATATTTCCTCTTCTATCAAATTCATGGGACAAGGTTTTAGTTAATACACAGAAATAACCACCATCTAGTTTATGACATATTTGCTCCCTCATATTCTCACAAATCTAAATTTCCATGCTCTTCCACAGGGCAAGAAAAAAGTAATGACTGGGCTTCCCTGGTGGCACAGTGGTTGAGAGTCTGCCTGCCGATGCAGGGGACACGGGTTCGTGCCCCGGTCCGGGAAGATCCCACATGCCGCGGAGCGGCTGGGCCTGTGAGCCATGGCCGCTGAGCCTGCGTGTCCAGAGCCTGTGCTCCGCAACGGGAGAGGCCGCAACAGTGAGAGGCCCGCGTACCGCAAACAAA